CCCCAGGCCCCTACTATAAAATTAAGGCCAGACAATGTTTCCAGTCAAAACTCTTTTGGCTACTCCCTTAGGCCATGGGGATGACTGTCCTGGCAAGGGGGAAAGGCAGAACACTGCTCTCGAAGCAAGTTTAGTTGATAACAAAAAGTACAAATGAAGGTCTATACATATTTTATGAGCAGGGTTATTTTATATAAGTATCTGGCTCTACCCTTTAGAAAGTCCATATCCCATATGCATAGGACCTCTGGCAACAGGGGAAGAGAGAATAGTTCTGGAGATGCCATTATATAGCAGCTTTTCTTGGTACAGCTTCTGAGCAAGTTTGTCCAACTGCACAGACAATAGTGCAAGATTTCTGGACAATAGCACAAGATTTCTGGACAATAGCGCAAGATTGTTTACCTGTAAATTAAATGTAAAAAGTCCTGTTAATATTGTTATTGCAGTTGTAACAGAAATCCCAATCAGGACTAAGAAACATTGTTCTCCATGGAAAAAGGACTTTGCTCCTATATTTTTCATAGTGAAGTGCTGATGGAAACTCCTAGACTGACAGCTCTGGAGACTGAAGTATGTCATCTAGTGAACAGAGGCAGCAGCTGTTGAAGTTATGACATGATTGTGAAAAATGCTGGGAAATATTCATTTATTTTCATAAATGGTATGTGTACCTTTGTTTCTTGGATTATAGGCTATTTGGTTGCTGGAACTGGAAAGTAAACTGAAATCCTGGTGGTTTTCTACAGCTATTGGAAGGCAGACAATGGTTTTAGGTAGCTACAAATCACCTACTGTTACGGTGACAAATGGACATCAAGACCTATGAAATAACCTCAGACCGGGCTGGGACTTCTGGGACATGGGGGTGAGCTGGGGGGTTGGGAGAAGCTAGGCATATCCAAGGTGCTAGGTGAAGACAAATATTCATGTAGCCCTTTGGTTACCTTTAACCTTTCCTCACTAATTTCTGTGTTCCTGTGGGTAAAATAAATAATACCTTGTTTTGGATAAGTGGTCCTGCACCCCTGCAGTTATCCAAGGCAAGTCTCATAGAGATGCCAAAACCGTTTGGGCCTATTAAGGAAACATGGCAGGAGACCAGGGTGCCGAAACCTGGATTCCCAATCTAAAAATAGGCTGAATCCCAGAAGTTTGCTCTGGGGGAAATGCAGGCATTGGGTCTGCCACTTGAAAGGAACAGGAGGGAGAAATGATAAGTACAGCTACCGTGCCACCCCCTGGTCAGAAGAGACCACTTCTAAAGGGAAAAAGCATAGCTCCTGTGTCTTTCTTCCTAGAATGGCCTTTGTAAGACAGCTATTCAGAAAAGGCATCATCATGGATAACTATTCACCATCATCCAGACAAACCATCAAATTCTTCACATGGGCACTGGATCAGTCTTGGAATGGTAATGCCATCTGATGACTACCAACCTGGACTTGAACTTGAACCAATGACTTAATCATGCAACTCTTTGCAGCCTGCTGGATGTGCCATCCAAATCCCTCAGCAGTGAGGGTCTGCACCTCTGACTGCCAGGAGAGGCAGAGGTCAATTCCAAAAGTATAGCCCTACTTAAAAAGAGTAGTTTTACCGCTAGTTAAACTATTAGGTCTACCAGTAACATGATGTTCAACGCTTTCACCTTCTAAAACATGAAAAGAATGATGGGCAACAGCTTTTACTCAAGTTCTCTTGATTCCTCGAGGTTAATACAAACTAGGTCACAGAGTTTCTCGACATTTAAAATAAACGTCCTACTCAAGCAATGCGAACTTCTCTGAGTCACGGAGCATTCAGCCTAAAGAATGGAAATATTATAGCCATACACATATACCACCAACAGCAACCCTCCCCCCTGCCAAAAGAAAGAAACAGCAGATGATTTTGAACAGTTTCCTGTTAAGATCCCTTGAAAGAAATGCACTGCCTGACCGCCACACTTTCACCCTGCTTTCTGTTTTCTGAATTTCTCCTGACAGTTGGCTCTTTCGTTTGCCAGAACCACAACAAAGGACGGCCTTGAGTTTCCACACAGACCATTCCCCCCCTCCCCTCTCTTCTCTGATCATCTCACAAAGGTATTATTGTTGCTGGCTCACTGGGGCTCAGTGCACCTGAGGCAGATCAAAGGCACTTTTTAATGCCCGCCTGACCACACAGGTCTCTCTCCCACTGCATTAAATTAAACCCGATGATTAATCTCTATTGCCCGAGGGTCTCTCGGTACAAAGAAAGAGAGAGAAAATATAGATTTCTATCAAAATATGAGTATAATAAACTTTCATTTTATGGCCCTAATTAAAAAAAGGCACAGCTAATTTCAACCAACTGCAGCTGCATATACGTCTCATTAAAGTACACACACACAAAGGTCCTATGTGCTCTATATTCACTTGGTACAGTATAAGAAGGTACAGATAAAGAGCTGTTACACCAAAGGCCTTTCAGAGACTCAGTCCACAGCAGCTTGGCATTTGCTAATTATCTGTTGGTTGGAAATGGTGGTGCTTTTTTGAGAATTAAAAAAAAAAAATTGGCAGAGAGGACATCTATTAAAGGCTGAGTTGTAACATTTCACATTTTACCAAAAAAAGCCTATTCTTAGATTGGGACTGAAACTGTTAAGTGCCACTCCTTAACTAGTGATTTCATGCGACTTTATGCGTGTACTAGGATGTATGCACTTTATGCATGTACTAGGATCCCGATCAGCTTCAACAAAGGTTTCATGCCAGAGAACGGTGTCACTTAACATTGCTGATATCATTCAAGGGACCATCCCAAAGATCACATACAGTTATATTGGTGTAGAAGTGCTTATACTGGATTAATTTGAAAAGCAATATCATTTTTACCTGTATAACTGTGCACTGGTCTAATAAACCTTGTATCAGACTATGTATAGAGTGAAAAAATGAATCACTCCTTTAACCAACTTAGTGACACCAGCCAAACTTTTCAGGTGAAAAACAGGTCTAGGAGTAGTAGGATTTTAAATATAAAATAGGGTTTGTCAGGAATTCAAACATTTCCAAAGTGTGAATACAAGATTATATCCCACAGACTTCTAAAGAATGTAATTCCTTGCTAAATGCTTTGCTTAACGGAGATGGGCTTTTTCATGCCTAAAATGAAGTACCTGCTTCGCTAAACTGGGGCATGTGACAAGGTCATTTACTTAATAACATGCTGCTATCATGTCCTATATCCATGTATATATGGCCAAGACACGGGCATCATGATTAAGCTTGGCTGTGACATTTCTTTAAGTGTCTCCCTCTCTTCAGCATTTGAGGTGCCTTTCCTTGACAGCAGGCTCATTTCTGCCAAACTGTCCATCCACCCCCACCACAATTTGCTCATCTGGGAAAAATCCAGGTTATAATCAGTCTAAATTTAAGAGAGTAATGAGTTTTAAATAAAAAATATGGCAGAAAAGGGTACTTATCTAAATGGAATGCTTTCAGACTCATACATTTTAAAAAGGTATAAATTTCACAAGCAGACACTAAATTTTAATTGCAATCTCAGGAAAAGCTTTTTCGTTAATTCACCAGGAAAAATTAACAAAGTAAAAATTGCTTATCTGGGTTTTTTTGTAGTCATGATACGTATCATAATTCTATAGATCACTGCAGCTTTCCAAGGGAGATGGATTTATATTGATTGAGAGAGGGGGTGGGGGGGAGAAGGGCTGCCACTGAAGATGCGCACTGGTTCTCTGAAGACAGTACTCAGTAGCACATTAGTGACAGGCTTGCCGTGGATAACTCAAGTGCAGAGTTTTCAGCTCAGATTTCAAGCTGCTCTCTCAGCCACTCTCACATTGCATAGACTTTGCTTTTACACTTCATGTTCAGGTCTCTTCCCCCCATCCCCAGTATTGATTTCTACTACTATTAGAGCTGCTGCTTGGTAGCAAATGCATGGTGATATATAATTAATATCTAGAGGTAAAGATAGAATTACCAGCAGAATGGAAGGAAAAAAAAAAGGGGAGAGGAGACAAAGTTCAACTTCTCTTTAGAGCCCGAGCTGCTGCCCCACCACCCGAGTGATCATGTACCCCACCTACCCCCATGTGGCATGAAGATGTTCCACAGATCAGGGCAAGCCGAGAGGTAATGGGCTGATTTTCACAGGGCAGGTTATGTCCTTTCACATCTCCTCCAATGATGCCTATTAAGAAACGAAAAAAGGGGGGAATCCAATCTTAAAAAAAAGACTCTCACAAAATGGGAAGTTCTTAGGATGCAAGTTGCCAAGGATCTCATGCCGATTCCACAAAGCAGAAAGGTCCAATCAACAAGACTAATTTTATCCACACAGATAAACATGTATTCCCGTCTGCGATGGACCAGACATTCCTTAAGCGTTCGTTATTTTATTTCTGTCCCAGCAATACACAGAGGGCTCAGCTGCAATTCGAGTTGTACTGAAGCAAAGGGAGAATGAAGCAAAAAGATTTTTCCAGTTGTGGCTGCACAGAACAGGGGCAGAAAGTACTCTTCAGCTAACTCACCCTCTCTTAACTAAAGCTGAAACTCTAGCTGCTGCTGAAGACTAGTCTCCATGGGTGGATCTATGCTTTTAAAAAGAACTAAAGTCTTCAGGGGTGTGAAATAGGAGAAGAGCCCAGGAGCAGCTAGCAACTCAGCAAAACTGTCCAAAAACTCCTTGATTAGCAATCAAGAACAACGAGCCATTACGCCAACTGACCCCCTCAACTGCCTGAATAGTAATGCCACATCTGCTGCACTGCAGTGCAGAAATCAAAGCAGGGTGCTTCTATCCTGGGCAGAAAATCAGCTTCCCTGCATAATACATTCAGTCCAATTCGGGGAGGCTGATTTTGCAGGGAAAAAGTGTGTGTTGTATGTGAGAAAATGCAATACTAGTTGCACATTACAGTACACAAATGTATTAGTGTGAATCACAACTGCAATATGTAAACATGTCTTTGTATGGTTCCCACAAATTTCATGCATCCCAGAGTGAAGGACCCACTAATCACTGGGAAAATGTGTATTGCTTAGGATGAAATCCTCAGCTAGTAGAATTTTGCCACTGATTTTTACTGGGTTCCAGTTTTTGCTGTCAGTGTTTATTTCAACTTGAAAGCCACAGTGGGCTTGAAAATTTCTATTCATTATAAGTTAGATGGCAAACATGGGTGTAAACTTGAAACATGGATTATAACATTGTAATCATAAGAGCATGCCATTTAATTCAGTTCTTGGGACAAAACCTAAGTGCTTTTAAGAAGAGTATTTTCCATGTATCAGAATTATTTTATGTTCTGGGAGGGCTATAAATGTCTCTTGTGAAGGCTCCAAAGGGATGGACTCAACACAGAAAATTACAGTACCTTGCAAACTTCACATCAGTCAGTCTCAGATAGCAGGCAAAGCTAAGCAGGCACAATTTCAGTCCTTTTCCCATACTGACAAACTAACTAAAATACTGCACAGCAAGACATATAGTTTGAAAAAAAAAAAAGCCAAAAAAGATAATGGTGGTACCTTTTTAAAGGAACAGGTACGCATCTTATTCTAACTTTCTGAGGTCACATCTGTACAAGTCAGACCTCCTATGATGTTTTAACTCCAGGCTCTTTAAAATTAATGGAACAGGTCAAACGAAGGACATATATGTAGCCAGCTTCCAGTTTTCTATGTTTTAGTAACAGATTTCAGATGGACTAGTTTGGAAGCTATTTCTGACCTCTGGAGCAGTAAATATCAAATAACTCTTCAACTCCTCCCAACCCAGCTCACACTTCAAATCCATCACAGATTCCAGGACTCTGAACTTCAATATACCTAGTCAAGTAGAGAAATAGATTCTGTGTCAAAATTTGCTAACAATGAAAAGTAGACATCCATCATGTCACCTTGGCTTGGTGCGTAGTATGAGAAGGGCCTGTTTTCAATATTTTATCTTCATAAACCATTGTCTAACATAGGCAGAACAAAGTATTTCAGTGGAACAACTGTGACGTCCAGTGGAAGTTACTACATGATGAGCTATATTGAAGTATGCACATGTCTCAGGTTCTACCTTCTACTTATGGTGTACCTCTCACCAAGTGAGTGCATGCTAAAACATGGAGAAAATACCCAAAGATGAAACATTAGCATTTCAAAACATGGTGCCCCTTTTCATCAACTAAAACAGATCTTTATTCTCAATATTTCCTGGTCTAAGTTTACCATATTCTCTTCTGCCTCCATAGTATATGTGTTTCTTCAACTTTTTTCATCTTCTTATTTAAATGGCAGTAAATTTTAGTGTAATGCTATTTAACGTTCCTCCTTATTTTTATTAGCTTTGATTCCCACTGAAGATTCTCCATTCACTTTCTTTTCTGTCCTCTCCTTGTGCCATGCAAGTTTCCAAATGCCTTCTGGATGAAGTAGATGGGCACAGTTCTCATCATACCAGCTAAGGGGATGACGAGTTATCTATCTTTGAAAGATAGTCTTTGGTCTTAGTGATCCTCTTTCCGTGTCTGGTGTCCTGCCAGCTCACCTGCCTGCTCCCCGGTAGATGACTCAGTGTGTTGCTGGAGAGCCAAGCCTGCCAGGGACTGCAAACTCTAGGTCTTCCAGGGATTATGGCTCTGGAGAACTTGCCAAGCATTCAGCCTTAAAGCTGTGGCTTTCTTCTCGTTTATGGAGTTTTAAACTAGTTCCTAACTAAAACCAAGCCACATATCAGAATACTTAAATACTCTAAGAAACTGAATTAATTTCCTCTACCCAGATCAATCCATACTCTCTTATTACTGACCTCATATGAATCGGTCGGAAAGCAAATAGCGGGGTGCCTTTTTATACATACTCATGGATCCGAACATGGTTCTAACAAAAGATGATCCTTGGAATATGAATGAAACATTGCTTCCCACCCACATTTATTTCTTGAAGTATTATGTAGTTGGGAGCATGGATAGTAACTGTTGTTTACACCACGTTCTAATTCTTACAGTATATGAATTAGTGCAAATTTCCCCGGATCGTTTTCAGTTCAACTTTTTTCCCCCACACATAAGTAGTAACTTGTTGAATTCAGAAGAACTCCTAATGCTTGAAAGAATAGGTCATTTTCAATACAAACTACACCACCTGACTATCAAGAGACTGGAGGCAGCAAATAATTCTCCATGTTTAAATAAATGCATTGCTTTATTATACACACACGGTATGAACAGAGGAAGATGAGATGGAGAGATTCCCTAGTTAAACAGTCATGTTTTAAGCCTTTCATTATATTCCAGGAATCATTTATCAGAGGCTAACTGATATATGTTTATAGCAAAAGATCTGAGTGTATATTTTGTGTCTTGAAGGGAGAATTGGCTTGTTATCAAGAAGCTTATCTTTTACTTAGTGACTGGAATACTTTGAGAGAAAAACACCTATCCTAATGTGAAGTAAAAATTGAGACTGAGGACCTCACTTTGAAAGGTGGTTTCTAATTTTGCAGGCAGAGAACAAAGTTCAAAGGGCATATAATTTTACATGTGTATTTATGGACCCACATTCACATCACTTAGCCAATTAATGTAGTGGTTGCCAAGAAACTGGATAGATAAGGGGTTTACAATGATGGGAACAAAACTGCTCCTATAACTACAACAGATACCTAAAGAATAGCCAAAATGCTGAACTGCTTCCAAAAATCTACCATTTATTGTACAGTGGCATTACATATGCAACTGCATGGATGAGGGCTCCTGTATTAACACGATACTGCACCCTGAAGTGCTGCAATAGCTATACCAAATAGTTATTTGCCTCCATCAATAGCAGTGACAGGAGTTTCACATGGGATGCAACAGGGGCCTGTTCTGAGTGTGGCAACGTCTGATATTCTTATTAATGACTGTAACAGAACCAGGCTCTGGGGCAGCCAGGATGCCCCCTGATGGCTGTGTGACTCACTCAGCTCTAGCTCTGGGCACCCTCCCTCTTTCACCTTCTCTCCTGCCATGCCTTGCTTTTATTGTTATTGGGCTGAAGGAAGGCTGCCCAGTGTCCGAGAGTGAGTCCTGACCCATTAGCTGTTGCTGGGTCTTTCCCAAACCACGCTGATCTCTGCCCCACCCTCAAATGCTCAGTAGGCCCTCCAGGTCTGTCTGCACCCTGGGGCAATAGTTGCCTTAAGGACTAATTTTGTAACCTCCAATCTCCCCATGCAGCCATGCCTCACAGGTGTTACCAATTAATCATTTAACTGGGCACTCCAGTACCACACCTCTCCAGGTCTCTATGTTCTTGCTGGGACCTCAGCCTTCCTGGCCTCTGCCCCCTTTCCCTAGTTGAACTCTTTAGCCTAGGCTCATTGTGTCAGACCTGGCTTTTGGGCTCCAGCCCATCTTGTCCTTTTTCAGCTTTGGGCCCCACGGCTCTGGTCCCTCAGTCCTTGTCTATTAGTGCCTTAAGCCCAGTCCCAGGTGGGGCTCAAAGCAGTCAAGTGCCCTCCAGGCACCACTGGGATCTCCACCTCCCCTTACTAGTCCCACGAGCTTACAGCTGCATCATTGCACTTTGCAACACTGCAAAGTAAACTACATCCAGATGTAGTTTAGTTTGCAATGGTGCAAAGTCATTTAAAACCCCCAGAACTGGTGCACGTGTGATGTGTGATGCCATTAAGCCACACAAATTGTATTTTTGTCATGTGTACATCGTGACGACTGTCATATATAGAAGTGCCCTTAGTGTGGAACAGTGAGTTTAGCAATTTATCAGATAATATTAGACAAGTCCACAAGGTAGACGGTGAAGCTGCATCTCCCCTGTTTCCCACTTGTATGTTGTCTGTCTTTTGTACTTTGCATGCTAGGTCTTTAGGAGATAATTTCTCATTGCATGTCTTTACACATCCTGGCACAACAAGTCTCTGATCTCCAATGAGTTTGCAGGCACTATCCTAAAGTAAATGAATACGAGGAGGCAGAACCATGTTCTACTGTATCTTACTGACTTGAAAAGAGTTTTTTGCATTTTTGATACCAACAGAACAGTTGGTATCACATCCATCCTTGGGGTCTCTTGACTGGTAACAAAGGTTAACACTAAACATACTACAATACAAGAAGAACAAAGTAGCTGAAGAGGTGTTTTAGGGCTCCCAGCCTTTGGTACAGCATTGCTCCATCTCTGAAACAAATGTGTGCAGAAACACTCCTGCCTCCCATAATGTGAGACCAAACACAGAACCTTTCTGGATTATTAATGAAGTGCTCTCTCTTTCTCTCTCTCTCTCTCTAAGGGAGCAGACAATAACTTCTGAAATACTTTTAAGTGAAACACACTTGGAAACATTTCAAAACAGAATAATTTTAGCCAGGGGCCATACATGCAGCCCCTGTGGCATTCCTCAGCTGAAACATTTCAAAATGCTGTGGTTTCCTCTAGCACCAGCCAGAAGCAGTAGAGGAGGCTGCAGTGACCTGTGGTTCTGCTCCTCTGTCCCCGCAAAGGGACAAGAGTAGAGGGGACCTTGCCACTGCAATCCCAGTTCTCCAATCCCAATTCTCCTCTCCCCCCTTGGAGGGGAGGGGAAGAGAGGGCTGGGGGTGGAGAGCTGAGCAACAGTGGGGATGGCAGGAGGACAGGAGCTGGCAGGCGCCGGGCAGGGAGGATGGGGTAGGAGACACCTATGTCTGGCTCCTGTGTCCATGCACAAGTAACAGGGTCTGTTCAGCAAACTCGGCTGACACCCCTGACGCTGAGCACCAGCCTCTAACAGTCCTTTGTTGACTGCAGAGCCTTCCCCAGGCACCATCAGTGGCTCCCTTCTACCTTTGTGGCTCAAGCTGCAGTAAGAAAAACTCCACCACAATTCATCTGCAGCTGGGAAAACCTTTCTAAAAGCCCTTCTCAGCTCCTACTCAGTCTTCTGCCAGCTCTGCCCATTCTGGGCCAACTCACACTTCCCTTAGTCTCTGGTCCTGCTTCTCTGCTTTATGCAAGGAGCTTCTTCTGCTCGCACAGCTTAAGCCAGGGCCCAGTTCCCAGCACTGCTTCCCTCAGCTCCATCCCAGTCAGATTGATCCCATCTGCCCCTGGTGCAGGGCTTATATACCTCCACAACCTGCCTCTTCAGGCCTCTCAGAAGCTTGCCTTAAGGGCATGGTCCTCACTTTCTCACTCTCAGTAACAGGGCAGGGTTCCCTGTTACAAGCTGGCCTTTCGAAACATTTCAGTTGTTACTTCTGCCTGCACCCCATGTGTGGGAGGGACAGACTGTCAAACCTCCGGAGTTAGCTGCCGTCAAAATTCTGACACATAAGTGTCTGCTAATTAAAGGCCAGGTAACCTATGGGGATTTTAATGAGCACTGAAATAGGTTAGGTGTCTAACTCTCAGTGAAAGCCAATGGGAGTCTAGGCACGTATCTTTGTAAAGCACTTTGCAAATCCCAGTTTGTGCTTAAATTTGACTGTAAGTACCTATAATATTTTTGCAAATCCAGACCAGGCCAGCTTGCCAGAGCAGGATGCTCCATGAGTTCCTCCTCCAGTCAATACCCCTGCTTGTATCCCAGTCCCTGAATCTCCCTCCCACCAGGACTGCACAAGTTTTTGCACTACTAGAGCAGCAGCAAGCCTTGGGTGGCTCAGCCATGCAAAGAGAGGAGGTTGTTGGGACCAGGGAGTTTTCTTCTACAACAGAAGTCACCGAGATGCTCCTTCCTCTATATCTACCACCCTCACACCATTTCCCAAAGGAAATGATGTGATTGATGGGTCTGTGTATCTGCTCCATTTTAGCGCTATCAGCAAGGAGACTATACTGTGAGCTGCACAGCTCCTTTCAGATATTTATAAGCTATCAGCCACTCAGGCAAGGAACCTGTTCCTATCCCAGGGCATCGAGAAAAGCTCTATGCATACTCTTGTCTCCTCTGATGTTGCTTCAAAGCACCCATATACTTTACACAGAAGTTGCGCACAAGACTTCTGGGAAGTGTTTGAAGTTTCTGCATTACAGATGTGGTTTTGCTTAAAATTTGTTTGCTAAATTCAAAGTGGAAAAACAAATGTAACCCGGGCAGTACTCCAAGAGGTACCCCCTCTCCAACTGAAGGGGTCAAAGCAGGTGCACAAGCGCTGTGGGAGGTGTAGGGACTCTCCTCCCCCTA